TCTACAATTGCTGTCAGTGAGAGAAAGAGTGAATAAACCAGCCTAAACGCATTTCATATCTTCAAAGCAGTGTTATAAAGCTGCAATAACTATTAGATGACTATGGAGAAAGACAACAAATTAGGAATAACCTCACAAGAACCATCTGCCATATTCTATATAATTTCTATTTCCTCTAATTTACAGAAAAAATAAAATATTAATAACAAGAATCACTCGCCACCCATTGATAAAAGTGAAAAATCTTACAAAATGCATAATAATCATAACCAGCAATCATAATCTATCTGACCTGAATCATTGTAAACATACCAAATTTCAGGTCATTTTTCTGTGCTATCAAACTTGCTGCATAATAGCCATGGCTACCAAGCCCTTGGGGCCTTCAACGTTTACGCCTCCATTTCCTACAAATTAAATTCCCCACCAAAATTGTCAAAGGTAAAGCGAAATAGCTCATTAGACAGTTTAGTGAAAAAAAAAAATATCCAACACTCATCTATGTGGGTGGTGCACAATGGTAGAAGCTATTAAACAAGAAACCATTTGAACAGAATTTTGAAGAGGTTATCAAGCCTTTTGCGACCAAAATAGAATCTGCTGAGGCTTTCAACATCGTCCCTTGATTGAGTATCTTGCATACTTTGAGACCTTTGGAGATGACTGTTGAAGGCTTGAAAAGTTCAATTATTGGTTGTAGAAAGTGAGAATATCGTCAATTTTCATGGAACAAACACTACAAAGTGAATATCCAACTGTTGCACAGTTTACAAAGTAATTTCAAGTACAGAAAATAGCTAAACGGTTTTAAAAAGTAGTCCTGTAACCCATACGCAACATGTTAAAAATTACCAGAAAATGTCCGCAGGGACAGACAACAGTGCAACTGTGCAATTTCAAATGTTAATTCTTCACTGCCGAATTCCACCTCAGTGCAACTGTGCAATCAATCATTGATATGCTACAGTTTCTTCGGATTTGAATGAACCATCTCAAAGACAAGTAGATCAAAACTGAAACAATTATATTTCAAAACGCAAATGACACATTACAATGAATAATAATGATAGAAAGATGATGCCAAGCATCAAAGAAGCAGCATCAGTATAATAATATTTATTCTAACAATTCTTGAATGAAAGATCATTCACTTATACAAACTATTCTTTGATGGAAAATAATACGATATTACAATATAGATGGACAATTGCTTGGTATAGGAGATTGAACAACTGTATATACAACAAACGGGAAAAAAACCCCTGAAGAGAGAGATATAGACAGTATGGCATAAGATAAAAGAGGATTTCATGACTACTTTCAGACATACCAAAGGGAATTGCAAATAACCATATGCCAAATCCAAATGGCATCAATATAAACAAAATCCAACACCAACCATTTCAGCTAACAAGAAAAAACAGCACTTTCTTTACAAGTGATGAATAAGAATAAATGTTAAAAAGGAAAAGAGAACCAAATGTTAGCTTGCTCCCATTTTTAGTGCCACTGGTTGATGGATTAATTGTATGTAATTAGGTATTGATGGTTGTAGAAATAATTAGTCAGTGTCAAACTATTCACACTACTCAACCCACATTCTCGAACCAAATAATTCTGACTGAACGTGAATTAATGTGAAAGACTGGACGGAGATTTAGCAGAGATCGAAACTTTCTGAAAAGGTTGAAAATAAAACTATATCGGCTTGGAATTAATTGTTAGCTCAGATAAAGCCGTCTTGTACTGAGCCACCAGCTCTAGATGACCCGCTGACCTGGATCCGGAATTTCCACCTGGACCCGCGGGCCTCCAGGAGGGCCCGAATTAGGCCCGCTGAAAGATTCCGGCACGGCCATTGGAGATGCGATCTGGTGCGGTAGGGACCTCGGTAAGCCTGGGCTTCTTCAGTCCCGGTTCATTGGAAAGAGATCTATCGAATGGTCGACGTGTGCTATCCATTTTCAATCAAATTGAACCAAAAAAAAAATCTACATCAAATCCTCATCTTCAAACCCTATGCTATTACAGAACACCTCAAAAACTACACAATAATATAACACGATTCAGTTATCAGTAGAAACGACAGCTTTATTGAAGCTAATTACAAAAGAATGACAAAACCAAGGAATCCATACTTCAAATAAATCTATCTATCATTATATAAAAAAAAAAATAACCTTTTTACAAATTTAACAAATTTTCCCGCCAATATCATTAGATGTATCCTATATATAGTAATTGTTGGTCAATTTTAAATAGGCAAAAAAATCAGCTGTATATATATCTGTTTTTTTTTCCTCTTTTTTGGTACTAAAAAACTGCCAATATATATCTGTTTTTCTTTTTTCTTGTTTTTTGATATTCAAAACCACCCGCCGGTGACAGTATATATATATTTTTTTTCCTGTTTTTGTACTCAAAATCGCCGGTGACAATAAATATTTGTATTTATTTTTTATGGTACTCAAAATCTCATCCCTTATTTAAAAAAATAAAATACGACCCATCTCTATTTCTTTTTTATGGTAATCAAAATCTCATCCCTTATTTAAAAAAATAAAATACGACCCGCGGCTAATTTTCATCGGTCTAATTACTAATATTTTTACAAATATTATAAACTAACAATACATCTTCGATAACAATGTAAAAATATAATAATAATTTTTAAATTGTGTATAATCAAATTTTGTTAGAGGGAAGTAACACCATAAATTCGGTATCATCTAAATGTCTTTATTAAATTAGGCTTATAATATTTTAGATATTTTAAACAAATTGTTTAGACTTTTTTTTTTACATATACGTCTATATATATATGGTCGCGCTCACATGAGAATGGTGCTTAATGAAAGAAATGAGAATAAATTGTAGCCATTAGATCAGATGATCTAATAGCTAAAAAAAAAGTCAATATTATACTTTCATTAAGGGTATAAAGGACATTTTATCACCAATCAGTGGTCCCACCAAAACACACCAATCTAATTCCCAACACAGTCTGCACTCTGCACGTTCTCTCTCTCTCTCTCTCTCTCACTCTCTCTCTCTCACACACACACACAGACGCAACACTTCTCAGCGACGACTTGCTCGGCGCCGACGTCACCCAGCTCCAGCGCCGACGTTACCCAGCTCCAGTGCCATCGTCACCTAGCTCCGGCGCTGTCGCCAATACCTAGATCCCGGTCTACTTCGCCGTCAGCGTCGAGAGCGCTCCGTCCGAGGATTCGACGTCGTTGCCAAGCCGCATCCGGCGCCGACGAAGTTGCTGTCGCTGTTATCCTCTACCATTGGCGTCCTCCCTGACTTTGTCTGGTTCTTCGCCACCGTCGAACGTCGCACCTGCTCCCCAGGCCAACGGCAGCGTCTTGAATAAGGTGGGTCTATGGCTCGTCAGGCGGCAAGCACGTCGGCCATGGTGGTCGGACATGAAACTCCGATCAGCTCCAACCATTGCAGACACCGATTTACTCCGGCATGAACGGCGGCGGAACACGGAGGCATCGGTCGGCAACTCTCCCTGGACAGGACGCATGGGTAGTGGTGGAAAAGGCTGAATCTGAAATTTGCATTTGGGCTTAAGTTTGGAAATTAGACTATTTCAAGGGTCTTATATGCAATTTTATGAATTTTAGTTATATTACAATGAGTTCATGGGTTAAATCTACAAATTATGAAAACTTTAGTAAAGCCACATTAATTATAATAAAGAGTACAATTAATGTGTGGATATGCACATTAGTATTTTATTAAATGCACATTGGTGTATTTAAGAATGCACAATAGCATTAAAAATATACTTAATAAAAAATATGAGATGTATTTTTTATATAAATAATTTGATAAATGTAAAACAATGTTAATTAAAATACACATTATTAAGGTTTTTTTTAAAAATTTAAATGCACATATAAAATACATGATCAATAGATTACAATTATGTGCACTACATTTGCACAAAATAATGTATAATAGATTGCACAATACTAACTATCAGATTACACACTGGATCTCGAAACCGACCAAGCTCAAATGTTCAGTTCAAATTTTGGTTCGATTATCTATTTTTACTTTTAAAATACATATCTAAACACAAATATTGCTCAATTCACTTTCAACATTGCATATTTGTTAATATATTAATAAATTCATATAGATATGATAATATATTTTAAAGTGCATATATTTAAAAAAAATATATTTTATTGTATATATATTGTGTATTTATCGAAAGACTAATATACAATATTAAACATATAATATTAAAATATTAAATAAATTTGTTTTTATAATATAAGTATTAAATTAAACATATAATATTAAAATCATTAAATGAGCATATTAAACATTAAATATGTTTTTTATAATATACGTATAAAACTATTTCAAATATTTAGGTTAATTTTAACTAACAAATAATAAATAAATTGTGTAATAAAAATAATAAATAAAAGATATTTTAATTATTTAGGTCAATTCGGTATTATATCTATTAAAATTAGTTTTCAAATACACATAATTTATATTGGAATGTATAAATTAGCTAGTGCACTTTATATATCGGAATGTCGCACTTTATAAAATAACATGTTGCACTTTATAAGACAATACGTTGCACCTCATCGCACACATATCCACAAAAAACAAAAGCATGCTAACGTACCAAAATTAATGCGTTGAACTTTATATAGTAATACATTGCACTTTATAACAGAACACGTTACACCGTATAAAACAACACGTTGCACGTACCAAAATATACAATAATTCTACTAATTGATCGAATAAAATATTAGTCGGCTAAATGTCGGATATAGTTATTTTAAATAAATATAATAACTGAACATGCCAAACTAAATGAAAAATGTTACCAATTTTTTTATATATAGTTTTCTTTATGAAAATAATACTATTTTTTATCTAAATTTTTTGTATGTAGTGCGAGTGCACATTATGGTTATACGAATTGCACATAAATGACTACGAAGTTGCACGAAATCGAACGAAAACCAAAGAACATAAATTCGGTACGAACTTTTATATTTTGTTTCGATTATTATTATTTTCATTATTATTATTATTATTATTATTATTATTATTATTATTATTATTATTATTATTATTATTATTATGTATTGTGAGTGGACAATAGTATTAGACAAGTTGCACATAAATGACTAGTATATTGCACATTAGTGATCGAAACCGTCCAAACTAAAATCTTCGATTCATAAATGTAAATTTTGCCCGATTGTCTATTTTTTTACTTTCAATTTCAAAATACTAACTACAATGTTGTAAATAATAAATATACATAATGTAGTTTGTATCGACTATTTTGGTTAAATCGTTTAACTGACCGGCTAAATCAATAATTTATGTTCAGTTTTAATTTAGAGTGTGATAAAAAAATTACTATCGGTTCAATTAATGTATGTTATACTGCATATTAAAAACCAAAGTCGTACACGATATCGTTAGATAAAAATTCACATTAATGTCTCACAATATGCAGACTACAGTAATCAAAAGTCAAAACTGAACGAAATAAAATTTACGGTTCAAAATTTTATATATCGGTTTGATTGTCGTATTATATTTTAAAGTTTTTGGTTATTACGGTTCAATGTCGG